CAAGCATTGCAGTGGTTTGTCTGACCAGTAAGAACAAGTCTTTGAACAGTAAAGCGTTGAAGACCTGCAGCACTCATCTGGTTGTTTATCTGATTATGACACTTAGTGGAATGACACGTGTTACTCTGCATCGCTTCCCTCAGTACACAGAGTACAGAAAAATCTTTGCTATTCTGTTTGGTATATTTCCAGGCAGTCTGAACCCCATTATTTATGGTGTGCAGTCCAAAGACCTACAAAAAGCTCTTTTGAAGTTTTGTGTATCCAAGAAGGTTTTGGCATCATAAACAGACTGTGTTTCTGTTTGTTTTTATAGTGTCACGGTTCTGGGTCCGTTGGACCCAGTATTTTGAGTTTATTATGTTTTGGTTTAATTTTGCATCAGGGATTGTTTCCTTGTTGTGTTAATGATTATGATGTTTATTAATAGAGTTTCATGTTTCTGTTTATTTGTGTTTAGGATTTGTTCTTTGGTTGTGTCTGCTTTGTATTGGTCTAGTTCCATGTGTCATTTTCTGTCTGTCTCTCAATGTCGAGTCTGCGTCTTAGTGTGATGGTTTCTTGTTCCTGTTTTATTGTGAAGGTCTGCGTCTCATGTGAATGTGTTCAGTTTTACCTCTCGTCTTGTTAATGACTCCCAGCTGTGTCCCCCACCTGTGTGTAATCTCCCTGTGTTTCTCTGAGTGTATTTTAGTCGTGTCTTTTGTGTTTGTAGTCGCTGGTCCGTCTGTGTATCCACCATGTCTCACCCATGTGTTCTCCCTGCTGTCCATTGTCATTCTCCTCTGCTCGTTCTCATTCTTGTCCAGGTTTGTGCTCTGCAGTTTAGTTGTTTCCAGTCTAGTTTAGTTCGCGCTCCATTTGCTGTTTGTCTATATTTATTTCGTATTTAATAAACCACCCTCACCCCTTTACAAGTCCCTGCGATTGGATCCTCCTTTATTTACCACACGGCTCATCTCACTCGCCGTGACATATAGAAATTCAACATCTAAAGGGAGATCATCTCTGACAGCTATTTTAATCATAATTAGACGGAAGTTAATGTTTTTGCTGCCGTAAGAAACTAATGTATAAAACTTTAGTCAGCATTTCAAAATGTGTGTATGTTCGTGTAAAATAAAAGCTTAAGCCAATCTGTGGTTTTGTCTCATTCATGAAGTTTAATTTACATTAGATGACGTTAAAGACAAAAGCAAATGTTCGCTATCTGCTGGTAAGCCTTTGTTAAACACAGACACAAGGACTGTGCAGTTTTATTGGAGCTAAATACATAATTAGTATTTAAGAAAGAACATAATGGTATGAAACCAGCAATAACACACGGTTATACCGATGTAATGAATTTTGAAGGCCAAGAGAATACGTTTGCATGGAAGTAATTTTTAGTATTCTTACTTATACCATAGCTTTCATTTAAAACCAAAAAAGACAATCTCTGGACTTAAATCTGATTGAGATGTTTATATGAACTTAAACAGGC